AAAACATGATTATACTGTAAGACAGTTCTGAAATTCATGTTACTTGATGACACACAGATCATCAATCTACATACATTTTTTAATAAGTTTCAGTCTGTTATTATGAAATTGAAGCTGATGAATGCTTTTCTCTCAGATGTATAAATATTTGATATCTTCTACTCAGTTCTACTCAACAATTGAAGAGATTATGTTCAAAAGAAGATAGAGAAGATACAGGATTTCAAATTCACAGCTGTGATATTGAATATTGATCTTCTCATGAAGAAGATCTGTTCACAGCTTGATTCTTCAAAAGATAAAAAGAATCTATAGAATACAGATTCTGCAGTTAATACAGCTATAACAGCTATAACAGTTATAATAATCACTACATCTATCAATTCTAACAACAATAATACATTGAATTCAGCCTGTGAAGACTGTACTGAATGTGATTGTAATAGTTCACAAGAGAGCTTCTGAAATTATCAGAGATTGAGCAATTCATCTACATATTCTGAATGTGAGAGATCTCACTATAACATCTGTTGATTGATTAATTCAGACAGTACTCTGAATAATTGAAGAATCTACAATACTGCAAGAATAAAGAAATTCAAAGAAAAGAAGAAAAAGAATAATAGTGAGAGTAGAACTCAACTATTCATTACAGATGATTCAGAGACCTTTCAGATGACAAATCTCACAGAGATTATCAATGTATCAGCCTGTTTCATGAAATCTCACAAGAATTCCCTCACTATATGAAATAGTAGCACTGAATGTCATATAGTGAGTGATAGATCATGATTTTCAAAGCTTATAGTAAATTAGTAATCAATAGTTCAATAGTTCAAGTGATCAACAAGGTTATTTTGAAGGTTCAGAGTGTCAGCACTATGTTCATCTTAGTGAATAAAAGATTGATAGAATTCAATTATATATACTATGTGTTAGAACTATCTGCAAATCTAATCTTCACTGAACTGATGAAGCATCAGAGCTATATTCACTGTGATATATAAGTTAATACTGAGAACTATTTTAAGTTTCTATTATCTATTAACAGTGATATCTTCTATATTAATCTGTCTTATAATAACATTTACATTCTTTCTGACAGCTCACTGACATTTCATAATATAATGAATGATCTGATATATGAAGCAGTGACATATATAGCTGTTTCAAAATCAAAGACAATCTCAACAGATTATGATCTGAATGCAGAGTTCTTGAGACCTTTCAGCTGTGAGAAGATTAAACAGTTAATCAACTCTAAGAATTCAGATACTAATTTCTTTATTATCTCATCTTTATCTTGATTATCTGCAGTTCTTCTGAAGCAGCTTCTGATAGATGAGTGACATTATCAACTTGATCATATCAGTGAAAATAGTATATTAAAAATGATCAGAGACCTGTAATTTAGTATTACTATTATCAGTCTGAAGAAACTATCATTCTATATCACATGTATTAAGGCTAAACAGAAATGTGCATTCTACAAGGATTTCACACCATGTTGTGTCACCTGCAAGGCCTTGAAGATTTGAGTGAATATTTTCAGTGATGATGAGACTCTTGAAACTGAAAATATATCATCTTACACTGGTAAGAAGCTTGCAATGATGATAACAGATGATGTCACTCAGATGAGATAAATATTTCTATTGAAATGTAAGAATGAGATGTTGAGATATCTACAGATCTTCAATCAATTTATCAAGAATCTGCTGAGATGTGACATCATGATCATTCACTCAGACTGTGAAGAATTGAATTTGAATGCAGTCACAGTATGTATACTCAGTGAAGAAATAAAATGAGAGCTAACTCTCTCTTATACTTCACAGTAAGATGAAGTATCTGAATGATTAATCAGTCCAATCATTGAGAAGTTCTGATCACTATTAATAGACTCTTTCATTTCTGAAAAGATATGAGATGAGACAGTTATTGCAGTCACAGAGCTGCTTAACCTTATATCAATCTCAACAATATTGTATAAGAACTCTGAAAACACAAAGCTGATTACTCTGTATAAGGCCTGGCTTGAAGCTCTATCTTCTGCATGTGATATATGATGATGAAGTTGCAAAGCATTCTTGAAGATAGTTCTCAAGCTCATCAATAAAATGACCTTCTGCTTCAAAGAGTTGATTCTTGTGAGATATGATAATTTTATTAACTATAGATTGATGAATCTCTTCAACAGGTGTTTATACATATCAAAAGACATTATCTTTCAGAAGAACCTTTATCTTGTTAATTCATTGATACTGACTACTTCACACAACCTGAAGATTCTACTCAATGCAGTCTGTAAAGCAGCTGCAGTGATTTCTTCAGTGATATCAGATCTACTCACTGCAATAATTTCTGCAATGATTTCTGCAGTGATTTCTTCTGTGACTTTTGATTCATCAACTGATGATCTATTCATTAATGAGGAAATTCAACCTGAGTGTTTATTATTTCTCATACTTACTAATAATTGATGAATTGACTATGAAATCTCCGCGAGAATACCTATCTTTTTAGTGCAGAATACACTGAATTCCCTGAAAATCATAGTTGAATCTCATGACTCTTCAACATCTACAAGAGATATCACTATAGTGAGAAAATCTACAGTGAGAGAAGCTTCAGTAAGAGACAGTCTTGAAGATCTACTTACTGATTCTGAGATTACTGCACTTTCAATCTTAAAGAATCTCACACACATCAAAGCTTTCATGAAATGAAAATATTATTACAAGGTCTGTGTTAAAGAGATTAACTATTCAAAACAGATAGAGATCTGATGACTGATTGAGAGAATATTATAAATAAGTGTTCTTCACAGTTAATGAGTATTTAACAAAAAGTTCAATAATATGAGTGAGGTTATTTACTATAAGATCTGCTGTGTTGTCTGTGAAAATCATTAACAGAAGAAAGTCAATTACTTAAGAATCTTTATATCTGTTGTCTCTGCATTCATCTCTTAAGCTCTTATGATGATCTCAGTATTCTGAGACTGATATGTTCTGTAGATTGATATGATGACTGCTTTTTTAAATACTTAACTATCTGCTGATGAACAGATATATATGAATTAACTTACAGAATTTTATAAAGACTGTAATAATCTTGTGTGTGAGTTGATGCAGAGACTCTACAGTCTTAAGTAAGCAGTACTCTTATGATATAAGCAGCTGTGAAAAATGCTATTATACTCAGACTTTCATATCAGTCTCTATAATACTGAACTATTTATTTATAATGAAAGACAGATCTATATAATTATCTATATAAATAATATCTGTCTCTACAGTCTGAAAATCAATGATCTGAACTGAGTCAAAGCTGAAATTATCACTAATTATAAGATTAAGAATGTAGAGGATTTCAACTACTATCTAGAAATGAAAATTAATAGAGATTTAACTTTATTAATATTATCTTAACTTCTCTTTATAAGAAATCTTCTGAAGAAATTCTCAATGAATAACTATTACTCTACATTCACTTCTATGAAGAAGAATATCAATTTTATAAATGATGATAAGAAACTGATTGTATATATTGCAGAATTTATTCTACAGTTCTATTAATCTGATATCAGATTTCTGTAATATTTGATAATTAATACATATTCTGATGTAAGCTTCACTGCAGAATTTCTTGAACAATTCAGCTCTCAGTCTATATCAAAGAACTGAGCTGGATTTAAATGTACACTCTGATATCTACAGAGTTCAATCAATGAGAAAATAATCTATCACAGAGATGCTGATATTGAACCTGTAATATACACAGATGCTGATTAAGCTAGTAGAGATTCAGAATCTTATTCAACTACCAGTTATATCATCTATATAACAGATGGCTCTGTTACATGATGAAGCTGCTGGCAAACTAAGGTCTCTAAATCATCAATGAAGGCTGAATATATTGCATTCTCTGAGACTGTATATAAGCTTGTCTGTCTCTGTGAGCTTCTAGATAATACTGAATTCATCTCATCTCAGCTTAACAATTTAAATGCTGATGATCATCTCATTCTCATCACAGTTAATTAGACTGACTGTGTGACCGTGTCTGAAATCAGAATCAGATTTTTTGATAGTCTCATTATCAATTCAACTGATTTCATTACACAGTTTTAACATTAGATAGTAGTTTCATACTGTTTCAGTGAGACTTACTGTCTACTCTTGTCACATTTTTTAAATAGAATCATGATTTTCACTTCTCAATTTAAATTATTTTTATTGCTTTAAATGTCTTTAAATCTCATTTGAGTGTTATCAAAAAGTGTTACTTTTTAAAAAATTAAAAATAGTCTAAAAAAAACCTTAAAATGTCTAAAAATAGTAACTTTATGCTAAGAATGAAACTAAATGAGATTAAATGAGATCACTTTCTTATTTTTTTCAAGTCATGATTTTATTTAAAGATCTGATATATAGTCACTTTGCATGTTTTTTTAATGACTAGTCCCAGCAGGATTCACACTAAGAAATGTATGAAACCAGATCAAATGAAATCAAATGTGAAATTCATGGTTCCAGCGGCCAGTCTACAGTCAATGATCTTGCTTATACAATTCATACTGATAATAAGTTCATCATAAAGCTATTCTCTTTCAAAGCAATTTCACACTGCTTGAAGTATATAGAGATCTGTTTACACATTCTTCAGAATCTTATCTGTAAGAATAAGATATCTATCTGATATATTTTATCTACTGAGAACACAGTGAATGAGCTTACTAAACTACTTGAAATGTTGAAATATACACGTGAAAGGAGAATATGAAGATGAAGAGATAGAGAGATAAAAAATAATGTATCTCATGACTGGTTTTTCATTATTACACATTTTCCAGTCATTTTTTGTACCTGTACTTGATTTGAAGGCGAATTTTGTATATAGCATAGTGTATAGTTACTCTGGTGAGTGGGAGTGTCAGGTCACATTATCTGGCTTACTAATCCTCCCACCATATAACTTTCCACAAGCTAGCAACCTTGCATTCACACAAGTTTTACATCTTCCACATAATAATAATCATAATAATGTACAGGCTGCAGAGCTGGCTGTTCAATCCTCTTCATGAATTCAAAGAGATGCATGTGACATCATGTGAGGTCACATTACAGCATTTTTTGCACAGAAAATTGGTTTTTCTATAATAAATAGAGAGAAAATACAGAGATTGATTTACAGCTTGACAACTGACATCCGGTTGTGTAATAACCCTACGTTCTTCCGGTAACTAGGTATGGCTGGGCTGGCAGTGTCACGTGATAATTACACTGTGTCGTTGAATAGCGCTCGAGAGACAACAATGAAGCCAGCTTGTTATCAAGAGCAATGATCCCACATTTCGCTATGCCCAAAGGCGATAGATTTGATGTTCACAGGACTGAGGAAAATGAAGTAGATGTAGAAGAATCTCGCGCCCTGCTGTCCCTGGACGAAGAGGAGTCCCTCGCCCAAGCAGCTCCTGCGCAATTACCCCTGCCTTCGCCATCCACCTCCAAACCGCAACCCCCAATATATATACCCCCTTCGAACGGTCAACCTCGGACCCCAAGAACTCCTAACCGAGTCCGATTCGATTTAGACGATGACACTGAAGATGATGGGGAAGAAGCACGAAGACATCACATTGGCCATCCCTACTCATGGCTTGAGGGGAATGATTATATGAATGGCGATGGATCGAGCGCAGGCCGAAGCAGTACCGGCCAGCTTGCCCCTCTACTTACCAATATCGAAGCGCCTAGTGTTACTCTAGCTACGTCAGGAGACTTTTTTCCTGAGGACCATTTGGAGGGTGCGCGGCCCAGGAGCGGGTTAAGGAATGCCTTCATGAATATGGCGAATAGTATTATAGGTGCGGGAATCATTGGACAGCCGTACGCCTTTCGGCAAGCGGGGTTAATGGTTGGGATCATACTCCTCTGTGGACTTACTCTCACCGTCGACTGGACTATCCGTTTGATCGTTATCAACTCGAAACTGAGCGGCGCAGATTCGTTCCAAACAACAGTGGAGTTCTGCTTCGGAAGGCCCGGTTTAATAGCCATCTCCATCGCCCAATGGGCATTTGCATTTGGAGGTATGGTCGCATTTTGTATCATTGTCGGAGATACAATTCCTCATGTCTTCGCGTCAATTTTTCCATCATTGAAGGATACGCCCTTTCTATGGCTCCTGACGGATAGGCGAGCCATCATCGTTCTTTTTGTTTTGGGGATCTCCTATCCTTTATCCCTTTATCGGGACATTGCAAAAGTAAAACAACAAGCCTTTTCTTCCCCTTTTGAATTACATACAGCTAATATTGTAGTAGCTGGCGAAAGCATCGACACTTGCACTAGTTTCCATGCTTGTGATTGTGGTAACCGTGATTATTGAAGGAATCCGAGCCCCTGCCGATTTGAGGGGCGATCTATTACACCTCAAATTTTGGCAGGTCAACGGTTTCTTCCAGGCGGTTGGTGTCATATCCTTCGGTAAAGTTGGACCTAGCCATGAATCTAGTGCCTACATGCTAATGTGACCTTTTTTTTAGCATTCGTTTGCCGTACGATAAACTTAGCCCCTTTTCCCCGTTGTGCAGTAACTAATACCTTTTCTCTAGATCACAACAGCCTCCTTATATACGGCTCCTTAAAGAAGCCGACTATGGATCGGTTTGCTCTTGTGACACATTCCTCTACGGGTATCTCGATGGTCATGTGCCTGATTATGGCGCTCGCAGGGTTTTTTACTTTTGGTGAGAAGACAAAAGGCAATGTGTTGAACAACTTCCCACCCGATAACGTTATGGTGAACATTGCAAGACTGTGAGTGTATATTTCTGGGCTGAGCAAATAACAAACCCGATGCTGACTAGGGGAAATCCAGATGCTTCGGCTTGAACATGCTCGCAACCCTTCCACTGGAAGCTTTTGTCTGCCGTTCAGTGATGACAACTTTCTTCTTTCCCGATGAGCCTTACAATCTCGCTCTCCATGTTATATTCACATCGGCGCTGGTCGTTACTTCCGTGGTGTTATCATTACTCACATGCGATTTGGGCGCTGTGTTTGAGCTAATAGGAGCTACCAGTGCCTGTGCCTTGGCATATATTTTACCTCCTCTATGCTACGTTAAATTGAGCAAGTGCAATTGGAAAGAAAAAACACCAGCATATGCATGTATCCTGTTTGGTGGCATTGTACTTTGCACTAGTGTTGTCCAAGTGATGATAAAAATCATCAAGAGTAAGTCAATAGTGTCTGCCGCCCTACTGTTGTTTACTGTTGTTGGATCAATGTATTCTAACACTTGGATTCTTTGTAATTTACAGATGAAGGCGAGAGAGGGACATGCTAGCTATTTACGGTTGTGTTGATACGATATCCTGGTCTGACTTTTCGGTACGCCGTCATTGTTGCATATATAGAATCCCTAATTTCCCCTACGACTCGTCTACGAGCACTTCCATGGCGTTAGGGTGAAACTTGCTGGCGAGGGTATTATTGTACTATACATATACATATACATTTTATTTTATCGACATTCCGGTGCAAATTGTCGTGGGGTATAGAAAGAAAGAATTCTTCCCCCCCCCTCCTCTTTTTTTTTTCTTTTCTTTCGATGACCTGGGACATTTCCGAATCCCATTATGCCAGCGTGATACCGCAGACAGAAGGCGATTCGATCGGGCTTTTAAACCACCCAAAATGTCACTATTTTACCTCCCTTCGTCCGCTTGCACTAACCGTACCTCCCGATCGTATGACTAACAGAATTATCGCAAACCATTGCTAGTACGATCTTCCCTTAATTTGCTGCTTCAACCTACGCTGTAGTTTGTGGTAACACCTACGCTGCTACTAGTATGGTCTTTATGTGCGAAGGTTTATTCTCAAACTATGTTTGAAAGGAAATCTGACGGCAATCTTTGCTCTCCGGTGAAATCGTCACAATCTATTTTGGGACCACCCTTGCGTCCTCTACTTGAGGATGCTTCAAGTAGGCTATTTATTTTACTTTCGTTTTCATATGTTCATTTAATATAACCACAATACTTTTACCTTCCGGTGATTTGCGGTGCGATATTTCGCCGCAGAAGACAAATTCCAGGTACGTTGGAAGGATTCAATTTCATATCAGAGTACAGTACATATTTGCCGCACACATTTCATATTTCCCCTGCGATACTCCTCAAAATCAGAGCTCCACTACTCAGAGTATTTACCTCACAAATCTCGCCTGTAGAGGAATAGATACACTGAAGAAGGATCTTTCATGATTTACTGATCCCGACCCTCTTCAAGACCTATTTGCTGTGGTGGGCTTAATATATTATATATCAAGGGACTTTCTTTTATCCTACCTGGCTTTCGGTAAGCCACAGCGATCAAAGCCTGGCTGCATGAGGCTGTCAAGAGAAGTCAACAAGTTCATCGTATATTGTTTATATCCTTTCTCTATTATTTCTAGGCAATATCTCTAAATGATTCTCTATTTTGAAGGATATTGATGCTTTTACATTGAGTTCTTATAATTAAGACACAATTCTTTTCTCAACTTTTGCATCAGTATCACCACGAGCAGAAAATATCTAGACTGGTTTCTTTTACCTTCTGTGAGGCGTGTCCTCTGTTGCTGGGTTACTGGGCCTTTGTGTGCCTCATCCCAGCACCAGCAATGTCACCAAGAGTGTGTTATTCTCCAGCCTTGCCCTAGGGAACAATATAAACTAACATTATCTGGCGCTTTCTTATTCCTTGACTTGGTTTCATCGTCATATACCCTTGTTTCTAGCTTTGTAGCAGTTGGTTTTCTCTAAATCATTCTTCCATTCGCTCTGTTTTCGTCCCATTATCCTGAAAGAAAGGCCTATCACCATATGGTATTTGCCTTGAACTTGAAAATAGAGTCTATTCTCCACTGACGGCGCCAGGTCAGTCCATTCTAGGTATACAGTACGTGCCCTTCTCATATCCTCTGATCCTAAGTTTGAGGATAACGAACGACCGTCTAGGGGATCAAAAAAGGGCTACTTGACCATTAGTGTTGCTAACTTTATCGGAAGCTATGGATGAAGAAGAACGCCAGAGGCGTATGCAGGAGCTTCAAATGGTATCTTGGACATTCAAATATATATGGAGATCCTGTTATTGGGTTCTATGATTTATTTCAGGGAGTATATGCTCACTCCAGTTTCACAAATTCAGGCGGATTTGGGCAGTGCACGCCGTGAATATATATCGACCGTTGATGACGCCCCGAACAAGTACCGCCATGTTGGGTTGGATCAGATCGAGGCCATGCGGGCAGCCAACATGAAGGGTTCTAAAGTGCAGAAATTGGCAGAAGCCAACAAGACTCAGTTAAGTGCCTGGAACAGTACGCATCCTATTCGCTATCCTTTACTGCCTGGGGGGTTTTAGTGTCGACTGACTGAGAGTTAACAGACGCGCACCAAACAATTGGGGGTGATGTCCAGTTGGAAGATCTGGATAGCATGATGTCCGGACAGAGTCACCGTGCCCAGCTCTGTGATTTGATTCAATCAAAAGGTGGACAGAAGTATATTCACGGCCCAACAGCTCCTCCCAATGGGCGCTCCAGAAGTACCCAGCCGCCCAGAGGTTCCAGGGGAATTGGGCGTGGTGGAGGAGTAGCGGGAAGCCGCGCCCGTGGCAACTTTTCAAGAACATCATTGTGAATCATCCCAAATTCCCTGAGCCTTCCCGTCTTATACAGTCACTGATATCGTAGTGGCCCCCAAAGTACTCCTTCACCGTGTGTGCTTGGGTCTGGTGGAGGCCACGCTGTTGAAAGCACCCCAGACCGGCGCCGATGTCTGGACCCTGCACGCTCCGACGCGGCTGAGAATTTCCGTGAAAAAGACACCAAGATAGGGAAAGCAGGAGTTACTCCACGGACCCCTAGAAGTGATAGAGGCTCCGGTGGACTAGGCCGTCCAGGCATGGTTAAAACCAGACGGGTTGTTGATCCAAGGTAAGCTAGAAACTGGTTGGTTTTATTGGGTATCAAAGCTGACGATAGGCGATCAAAGCGCCAACTCTGAGGCAATGTTCGCCGACCCATCAGACTTCATGGCAGTTGCGAAAGTACATAATGCTTCTTGCCCTTCTGATCCCCCTAAGCCAACGCGGAATGCAGCAGCCCAGCCTATGACTCCATCCAATCAAACCAAGCAAGAGAATGCCGCTAAGGAAGAAGTGTGCATTCAGGAAGGAGCTTCACATAATGGAGTGCTGGAAGAACACATTAAAGGGGGAACTCAAAAGCGAAAAAATGAAGATACTATTAGCGCCACGCTCGCGAATGACCTACAGCTCAAAGGAACTATATTACCGGAGCACGATGCAAAGTCAACTTCGGGAAATACTTGGGCTATTCAAGTAGATAGCCTCCCCTCTGGTGGTATTGGACCTGGGCAGACTGACTTTGGTAAACTAAAGACAGATAAAAGGTTTAGATCAAGCCTTCCTCAGCCAATTCATGCATCAGAAGAGTCGACACTCCTGATCGACCTGATGCGGAAAAGTCGATCACCTTCAAACCCAGCATCCGCCATTCGCCCTCGACATATGGATTCAGGAACCAATATAGCTCCTATGTCATCCTTTCTGACTAATACTCCTCCGTCCATGCGGATGTTGCTGCCGGAAATACCAACCAGCTCGGCTGGTGCAAAAGCAGTTGGGAACTCTCAGAATGGAACTAGCAATGCAGCTCTGAAGGCTGCACTCGACTTGCTTATTGACAGGCTACAGAGAGAACTGCACCAAGTGAACCAGATTATTGAGGATACTCCCGGGCCTATCGAGCTCACAGGTATAGGAATTTATTTGCTAAAGCGGAAGCAGCAATTAGAAAGCGAAATAGCGGAAGCAATTGAGATGGAGAGTGATATTGTACTCCCGTTCAGTGCATTGACATTAGAAGACCCTTCTCATAAGGAGCCAAATGAGGAGCATAATGTCTCTCAAGAAATGCCCATCCCAAAGGTCCCAGTTGTTTCCATGGATAAAAAGGAGGTAGCTCCGCTGATTCCTGGATCGGGGTCTACAGCGATGTCGTTTGGCAAGCCAAATGTTGGCCCCCAGGAAGTTCTGCTCATGTCCAACAACACACCACCGATTCCTACACCCACTTTATCTACTTTCACTAACTCAGTACACGATATTATCGGTGACCATTTATTGCCAGGAAGGAATCCTTCGAGCATCAAATCAGATCTAGAAACGCCAAAAGTACTAAGTGGAAACAGTAGCCTTCATGACTTTTCCACCCCCCCTGCTGGTCCTGCAACTGGAGAAGCAAGGCCGGCGCCGCATGGTGCAGTAGCGTTTGATCATAGTTCCTCTGTTAACCAACTACAAGTGCGAGATACGCCTAATATCCCGGACAACGCAATAACTCGACAATATTTGGAATCTACTTCTGAGACAAGTAAGCGCTCAACTGAACCACGGAATTTGCCTCTAAATGGGCAGCGGAATCACCATTTGTTGACTGCGACACAGCAGTTATCAAGTTTTGCAATTCATCCCCTGGAGCAAAGCAGCGAACCGCCCTCTCCCATTTGCTACATGACTGCAGTAGTACAATCCCCTGTCGCACCATACCAACCTAAGCCTGCTCCCCAGGGCCCACAGTGCGTCTCTTCTCCAGGGCTGGGGGTACCGCCTAAACCGAGTGAAATCAAGCCCATTGCACGGAACTTTGCTCCTAAGTTTCCTATGTCAGCGGCAACGATGCAATATTCCGGAGCATTGTTCCAACGTCAGGAACAAAATGCAGTACCAAAGTCTCCTGACACTACAACACCATCTTGCCACAACCCACCTGTTGACCCTAGTAAGCCTATCACTCCAGCCTTTGTGTCCAGGTTCCCAGTGTCAGCCGCAACTTTGCAATACTCCGGGACGATATCCCATGCTAGCATTCAAGCAACAGACCCCCCGCCGCCAGCAGGACAGGAAGGTCGCAACGCTTCTACTGTGAGCGCCACACGCAAAATTTCTGAAGCTTCTGTATCCTCCTCAATTAACCCGCCCCGACTTAGTGGACTAGAAAATTCCAAATGGGCTACACCAGCAGATGCACCTACTTCACCCAAAGGGGCGAGCAAGGGACGGCCATCACCCAGACCAAGAAAAGATGGAAAAGGTATTGATATGTTTATCGCAGAGATGGCAAAGCATCAAGTCACAGTGTCCCAACGCACCATGGAGGAGTCGACAACTAATAGCGGGCCGTCGAAGCGCCAGAAGGAGTCCCCTGGCCTTGCGAGCTCTAAATGGGCTAGCTAGATTAGGTTTATCAATGCTTGGTGCCGAGCTACGGAGTCTAGAGTGAACGAGGGGAAGAAGTATGAACTTTGGCTGAAGATGCGGTTACCCATAACTGTGTCCTAATTTGCGTTCCCAGCGTGTTATCCGTTTTCTTTGCCCATGATTGATGATCTGCCCTTGCAATTACCCCCTTCCACCGGCTGTATTGCAACACCCATGGAGTATCATTCTGTGAACTCTCCATGAATATTCCCGATGTTGTTTATTAGATGCGACCCACAGTTTAGTTTCTCGCAAGTAATAATAGCCCTGCACTCTGCACTTTTCTTTTCTTTTCTTTTCTTTTCTTTTCTCTGTGTTTTTGTTTTTTTGTTCTGCGCCCCTTTTCACCTTCCTTTTTTTTAAAAAAGAAAACGCCAAAGTACCAAACCCGTTTCCTTAATATTTCCAGCCAAAAAAAGAGGTACTTTTTGATTTGTTCGAATGCACAAGCCAAACGTCCCTATGGACTCTCTAATATTACTTTGAAAAATTTCCGATTCTACAAAGCTTCCGCATTGTACACTTTGGTACTCAATTGTTTCAAATCAATGTAAACTGTTTGTTGATAGGTTTCACTGATATACGCATAGATTTCGTTCTTCAGCTAAGAATAAATATAGGGGCCATATCCACGTTAATCACCAGGGACTCCAACGAGAGTACTATAACGGGACATGGATCACCAGGATGAACGGTCGAAGTTGGAGGAGCCTTACAGCAATCAGAACCTGTAAGCCACCATGGCAGTATTGGTATCCAGAAACGTATGTTCTGTTATGGCCAAAAATTTATATCACAAGTGCATCAGTGATATGTAATCGAAATAATTAATGACTACTATTGGTCCACCTGGTTTCCCTCAACGGATGGAAATCAGAGGAGAAACAGGAGGAAGGAGGGGAAGCTGCAGCGACCAACTATAGGAAATGAAAAAAATTCATGTTCCATTTTGCTGATACCAACCTGATAGTAATAAGTAAGAACCGATCCACTACTCCGCAGCGTCCGATGATCTCCCTCCCATTACCCAAATGAAAAGTAAAATAAAATAAATATGTTCGCGGGCGTTGAGGGCCAAAACAAAACAAAGAATCCCTTACTCCTCAATATCATACAAAGAATGAATACACTTATAAAGGTATGGATACCATACGGTGAACGCCGATGGAATAGAACAGAAGACGCCGGACCGGATGATGGGTATGCATGGAGATCAAATAATGATGCTATTGCTGCTGCTGTTGTTGTGTAGTGGTATTTGAAATATTCTCTCCATTACCAACTCTAGTTTTTTTCGTGGGGTCATTAGTGGAATCTTCGCTGCCTTGACCGTTCGTTACATCCGCAAGAGGTGGTCTCTTCCCGTTTGCGTTTTGAGCTTGAGCAGGGGCTATGATGGTATTCGACGAAGCAGAAACATTGGCGGCATTGCTTCTTGTCATTCGTGTAGGTGGCCTGTATGAACTAGTCGTCATAGGACTCCTAGCTGCAGGTGGTACTAAGCCGATACCACTACCACTCACAGGGCGGGGAACTGGTCCTCTTTTTGTCGAATCAGGGATATTGGTTTTGGTTAGATTAGTGTACTGAACCTGGCTAGCCGAAGGGATGGAGCCGGCAGTGTTATCTGTGAACCGCGGAGGGTTAATGCTAATTACGGTGCGAACAACTGGGGCCGACGCATTGTGATTAATGCCCGCTGTCTTCCGGATGGAAGGACTGTCGAAACGTGGGTCAAAAGCAGGTGCCGATTTAGGTGCCTCATAAGGGTTGGTCCTTAGAGCATCGGCTGCCCGAGCAGAGTAAAACCCGCCGGCAGGATCCTGTGGGCGTTTGTCCTCAGGAATCTGAGGGTTGAATGGCGACGGAGCCCTGGATGGAGAACCTTTTGGGCTATCCTTCGAGGTTAATTCGGATTTCGTCTTTACTTGATCACTCGGGAGTGGTGGGGGTAGATTTTGGGTGTGCTTGGGCGGTTGAGGAGGGATAGGTTTTGAGGTGTTCTGTGGCAATGGCTGGGGTCGTGGGGCTGTGGGGGTTTTGAGATTTGCGGCAAGGGGATGGTTTGAAGAAAGTTGAGGGGGAACGGGTCTATTTAATCTTTCACCGGAAATAGGTGGAAGGTCAGGTTGCGCCCTGGAAGGGGGGTCTGTAGCCCATGAACTTCCGGGCTTCGATGGGGTGACATTATGATTCATATGCTTTTTAGGGGCTCCTGGATGGTTCTTCTGAAGTTCGTGAGAGGTAGAATGGGCTTGTCGGGGATTCTGTTGGGGTGGTTCAGGCTGTTGCTGATCCACAACCACTTCATCGGGGCGCTCGGTGTGAGATTCCGCGAAATCCGCCTCATCAAATAAATCACCTACGAAAGGTTAGGATCTATATTCAGCGAGAAGCCAAGACAAAACTTACTTCCGAATTCGCCTTCTAGATCCAATGCGAGACTTTCATCTGCTTTGGCTGTCGGCGCATTATGCGACCGAGGCGGAAGTCCAGTGCTAGCTGGGTTCGGTGGGTTGGAAACCTCATTGTGGGTAGGATTAGTTTCCTTCTTCACGACAGTGTGGGAAGCGTCGCGATGTAGATCCCCTACATCCCATTTTGTCTAGAGATCAATCAACTTTTGGTCAGACAGCTTTGGTAAGCGTTGTAACTGACCGGCGCAGCCTTGACCTTCGTCACCCTACTTAAGTATTCCTTGTCATAGACACAATTCCCAAGAACATTACCGAAAGTCCTTAGAGCCCGTTTCAAAGCATCTGTCGTGCCTTCTTTCTTTGCTTTCTCAAAGGCTAGTGCCTTCGATTTCGAGTTTTCGCTATGCCCGTATCCAAGGTCCTGTTATCTATGTCAGCGTATTCTCGGTGTCACTACTATAAGGAGCGGACCAACCTCATGAAACGCCCCATCCTTCAACGTCACCCTCACAATAACAGCCACTCCCACGCTAATTTTCCCCGTATTTGGATTTTCGTCAACCTGTGAAAGTGGACGATGAATCAGAAACTAGCCTCTGCTGGCGTCGTTGTTGTATGCTCGTCAAACGTGACCCATCGCAATGCCGAACCAACTCACATAATCAACCTGGATATTTTGAATAGAACTCGACCACCCGTTAAATCCAAAAACTTCATTCGCGAGATTGATGCATTTCTCTGCAGCTAAATAGTGCACCCTGAGCCCTCCAGGCCCTTGTCTGGAGGAAATATATTCCGGACCTAATCTTTTTTCAAGGCGACTCTGTAGAGTAGCAATTTCCTGAGCAGTATATTGGTTCAAGCGATGTTCAGAAACCTCAAAAGGATTATTGGTTGTGGCGTTGCCAAAATTCGTTGGAGTCATTCCCGCTGGCCGTGGCCGGTGCTGGTCACCTACCCTTTCAGGCCCGGGAGTATTAGGACGATCAAAGCCAATGTAAACGAAGGTGCATATGATGTAACTTACGCTGGCATAGTCGCGAATTGACTTTAAACACATGAAACCCCAGCAAGCACCTACGCAGTCCAAAATTGTGAGAGCCTGTTGATTGTGAAGTTCAGCGAGACGGGCGTGAGGTTGATGGTTGATGGTTGACAGTTCCGTCGAGGGAACGCGTGCGTCTAAACGCGTATGGGGCGCTACACCGATGGCTGTTCACGTGATATCAATACGATGGTCTCCTACATACTCTCATCCTCATACGACAGACAATATTGTCTCGCTGTAATTGTGCATGGACTTCGAGTGATGATATTTTGAACGTAACTGGATATCCTAGGCGATCTGACGCCGTCAAACCTATGATCCGGCAAACCATTTTCCTACCCAAACGGGTAATCTCGGGCTTCTACATTTCTAAAGATGAATGCTGTCACAGGTCATATCGAAGGGGAAATTTATCATGTACGCGACATGTCTTCATGTTATATGAGCAGATCGGGAATGTAGCTATGACGTAATGGAATTTTTAGGCAAGCACTCCTTACCCGTAAATGCGTGCGTAAGTTCTTAGATTGGAGATAAGGACTCGGGCGAAACGGAGCGACTTCATACAATTTATTTTTATCAATGCCATAGGTATTCGCTATAAACAATGCCAAATGAACCATTGTGTGCTCTTTTAATTCTATGCAATAGTTGGGGGATGCTATAGCAACCACACAATAAAAAAGCACAGAGGATCATGATATGAAGGTAAATTAAAAAATAGAATAAAACAGAAGAAGCAGAAGTAGAATAACAAAAACTACTTCACAATCAAGCTTGCACTGGGAATTAACCCAAGCTGCTTAAGTGTCTCTCCGAATGACTCTGCATCGAACACTTTCCGAGGGAAATTCTGCGTAAAGCTCTCAACCTCCATCCCAATTTCCTGAGTCACTGCCGCGGCCACCTCGAACAGGGTCGTATCGACGGGAAAAGTTTTCATAACATTGCCAGTTGGTGTTTGCAAACGTAATCGAGATTCTGTATAGGCCGAAGCCGGTTTCGACGTAGCGGGTGTGGTTGGAGCAAGGCTTGTTGCGGGCACGGCGGCAGGGGGCGGGGCACGACCTTGCCGCTCAGCTTTTTCCCTCTCAGCGCGCACCCGCCTCTCTTCCTTATCAGCTTCGATCCTGGCTCTTATACGTGCCCTGGCTTCTACTTCCTCTTGCTTTTCCCGTCGTTTCTTCGCAACTTCTTTCAGCTGTTCTTTTTTTTGGAGCTCTTCCTTGAGATCTTGTGTCTCCTTTGTGGACTTTTTTCGTATTTCCTAAAATTTATTTTGCGTCAATTCAACCTTTAAAGAAAAACAGAGGGAAAAACGCAAGTTGTCACAGGAGAGAGGCCAATCTATATATACCCAAATCTCATCCAGTGGGTTTCACTAACCTCGTTCCTCTTCTGGTCACTTTTATCCTGCTCCAACATCTGCGCCTTCTTTGCAGCTAGCTTCTGCCGCAACTCCTCCAGTCTAGCCTTTTTCTCCTCCTCGGTCAGCGGGGCAATTTCCTCCGTCGATTCCGAAAAGTCAACATGCTCCGTCTTCGATGCGTGGAATTCAGCTTGGGCCTGGCTGCGGAACCGCTTCCCGCACTGGTTGCAGACAAGACTTCTCGCTTCTTCGCCCGGTTTCAACACTGGTGGCTCATCTGGGTCGATGCCCAGCTGGGTAGTGGCGGAGGTGGAAGCTTTGATTTCGTCGAGGGATTTCTCTTGGTTGGCTTCGAGCCATTCGAGGGCTCCTTGTACTACAGCAGAACCATATGCTTAGACTTGATAGTGGAGGTACGGATGGTCAGAGAAAGTGTACATATAACAACGGAGAGCACTTACATCCTCCTGTTTTGGATACAGCTAACTGAGCCCTCTCTGCATCAAATCCCATGTCGATGAGTTGTGCTAGATCTGAGGGCATGGTTGCGGAAGGTTCTTGGTAGGTGTGACGTGGGTGGATTGTACAGAGCTAGAGGGAGAAGAGAAGATCTAATAGGAGAGAATGCAGAGTGAATTATATGATAGATAGAGGGAGAATCCAGGCGACTCAGTTCGCGTTGACATGCACCTTTCGTTCTGGATTGCCTCTCGCCCGCTGCTAGTCAGTTATTAGTGCGGCAGATCCAGCAGAAGGAGAATGAAGTCATAGCTTAATGTTTATTTTTACACGTGCCTTCGCTTACTGTTAGAGGATAACGTTGTCATCTATAATCTATCTAGGGTGAAACTATACCATATGGGAAGAACGTAGGGTTAATTTATGGTGATTACACCGTGGATCCACCATTCCACCCGTGTCACGTGTCGCTGATTGTAACACATGTTCCACCATTATATTCAGCAACACATCACTGAATATTAAATGTCAAGATGGTGTTGAGACAGTGCAGAACTTCTTAACATTATCATAACACTACTCAGTAACTGTGTAATTAGCAGATGTCATCATCAGAATACTACTAAGATACTACAAGACACTGTATACTGTTCTGTCAGTGAAATCAATACTATTAAGCTAGTTATCTATTACTCAGTATAATTACTGCTATTCATCAACTATCTATTCTATTTAAAGAAATGAGATATCTTAATTACAATGCAAATATCTTATTATCTGAGACTTATATATTAAATAATCATTATTTTCATTACTATTCTGTATCAGAATATTATATAATACTATCTTTCAAATTATCAGCAGTCTGATAATAGTGTAATTATCAGAATTCTCTTGTAAAATCAGCAGATTCAGTAGATAATCATATATAATATAATATAGAGAAATAAGTGTAAAGAAAATTCACTTAACTTCTTTTATTTTATAAATCAATATAATTATAATCTGATCAAGCTCTGCTTTTTAATATTAAATAATATTTTCTTTTATAAGAGAGATTCAGTGAATGTGATCTCTGATTTATATATTAGTAAGTTAATAACTGATTAATTAATTAATTAATTAATTGATTGAATAGATATATCAAACTGAGAATATTAACTTATTATAGAAAAGTATTAAACAGTGATCTGATTTCAAAACTAAGAGCTTATTTCAATCAGTATCATAGAATTCTTATAGCTTATTAAGAAATAAATGAAGTAATTCAAGCTTGAAGAGATTTATAAATTATATACTAACTTTCTCTGATATTTTATTTAATAATAGATAATTAAAAATCTTCAAAGTAATATAATCTTTTATTAACTTTAACTTAATAAAGTAGTTCAGTGAATTATCATTCTTATCTTCAGCTTCTTTATTCATTCTCAACAGATTATTAAATAGTGCTGAATAAACTATATATAAATCTTAAATCTTCTGTGTCAGATGTATATTAAAGCTGTTAAAGAAATCTCTTAATATTAGTTATAAAGTTCAGTGAAAGCTCTTCTGTAAAAGCAGTGTCTTTTTTATATTTTAATAATTTATTCACTGTACTAGATTCTTATATTATTATTATTATTATTATTCTTTCATTATACTTATATGCAAGCAGAGCTTATAATGAGTCCTTGCATGATGTTAAATACAGGCCAAGTGTTGATTATACAGGAGGAAATACAGGTGTTAAGACCATGTCAAGATAACAAGAACATAGAAAAATACAAAGAAGTGACAATTAGATACATGTGATAATAACTTCTCAGCTCAGAAACATAGAGTGATTCATTGAAGTGATTTGTACACCTCTGTATTTATTAGGAATCTGAGGTGCTTGAGTTCTGGATTTAATGTATCCCCTGCAGGTTTTGAACCCACGTGCCTTGGTTTCCCACGCCAAGGCACTACTGAGTGGCCGCATTAATCATTCAGCCACCAGAGCACTAGATTCTTATAGTTCTAATACTTATTCTCTTCTATCAGAATATTATAGTTATTAAATACTATATATTCTCTAATCTGCTCAATATAGTATAAATTAATATATATATTCAGTTATTTCTTTATATACTATATAAGCTTTGCTTTTTTTATATAATTACTGATATATATGATGATAGTACTTATAGTTAAAGCAGAGAATGACTGATAACTAATAACTGAATCAGTTTAAAATAGCTTAAATATTACTACTACTCTGACTGCTACTTTAATAAGAAATTATAGTTATCAGCAGACTCTTAGTATGATTTAATAAGTTACTTCAGAATCATTTTCTCTCAGTAATTGAAATACTAATAGATTATTATTTCTTATAATAGCTGCATATATCTGAATAATAAGATCAATAAGTGATTGATTTACTGCTAAAAATATTATAGAAATGATCTACTTAATTACTGAACTGAGTCATTTCTCTCTAAGCTTACACTGTAAGATAAGAGATATAATAATTAAGACTCAGATATGCTTCTGAAGTTGATACTTCTTAAGATAAATAATCAGTAACTGTAAATAATTTTAATTATAAGAAAAAGAAAATATCTGTAATATTCAGAAGTATTCTAGCTAATTATATAATAATAAGACAGAGCAGATCAGTAATAAGTATGAAATTTCTGATATTTCAGTGAACTCACTATAATATGAATCAGAAGAAAAAAAGAAGATTAAATTCAAACTTAAGTATATTTAAAAAAGAGATATTATCTGTACTGTTATACTCTGCTCTTGATATATTTACTCTCTATATGTGAGATTCAGCAGGTCATTCAGTTTAGACTGAAGATGTTATATATAATGATAAAATCAGTCATTATTATATAGATTATAGTTCAGATTCAGCTGATTTTTATCATTAATAAAGCAGCTTCAGTATAATCTTCTTGCAGTTGATTCTTTAATTTCTGTATTACTATTTTACTGCAGTATATCTTTAAGAAATGCAATATAAAATATAATAACTCTTATCTTTTCTTCACTGATATTCATTATAACTCTCTTATAATTCAATGTAGATAAGTTATATAACAATGCAGTGATAATGTTAAGAAAATTAATACTATAAGAATTAAAGATTAGAGTAAAAATATTATTTCACTTTAAATACTTAACAGCACTCAGTGCAGAAATTATATAAAAATTCATCAAGCTTTAGTACATGTTTCAATATAAATTAAATTCATCAATAAATAATTGATATAACAGAGAAATAACTTATATATCAGAGTAAAATATACTTTTCAAAAGATCTCAATTATATACTGTAATTTTCAACTCAGTCTGAATCAGTGAAGATTTATAATATAATCATATCTTAATAACTTCAGTTTTAATTCTCATGATCTGATGAAGAAAATACTGATCTGAACTTTTATATACTGACAGATCAGAACTCAATTCAAATACTGTATTTATATAAATATTAAGTTGATTGAGAACTTGAGTAATTAAGATATATTTCATCTCATTCTTCATTACAATTATTTTA